CCCCGGCGCCGCCTCCGCCTCCACCGCCGCCACTGAAGCCCCCACCCCCGCCACCACTCCCATCGCCACCCCCACTCCCTCCGCCACCTCCACCGCCACCTCCACCGCCCCCGCCAACCCTTCCAGCGCCCTTGCCCCCCTTGCCCTTGCCGGTGCGGCGTCTCTCGCTAAGGGCAGACGCAGCGCCGACCGACCCGGTGCCAACGAAGTTGACGGCAGCAGCAGAGGCAACAAAGGGCAAAAGGGGGGAGGGGGAGAACCCCTAAAAGAAGGGGGCACGAGGGTCACCACGAGAGGCTCCTACAGCGACTATAGTATTCTCAGCTGCCAGGAGGCGCTCCTCGAGGAGGTCAACGGTGAGTGTGGTGGGGCAAACAGAGAGGAAGTGGTCCCTGACCGAGCGAACTCAGGGAGCCGGGTGACTATGTAGTAGAGGGTGATGTACATGGGGGGGGGGGGGGGGGGGGTCTTGGCGCAGAACTCAGCAGGAAGCGCAGCGCGGTAGCGGGTGTCACTAGTGCGAAGGTGCGTAATGAGGTCAGCGACTGAGGGAAAGGCGGCGAGGTCAGGAAACAGGTACGGCAGCATGAGGCGGCTAAGGGCAGCAGTGGCAGGGGAAGAGTAGCGTGCAACTACAGCATCGTACAAGGTCTTAGCACTCTTGTACTGACTAGAGTGCGCGCGCTCAGTGGACGGTAAGTGACTACGCACAGCAAGACGGGCAGCAGCATCGCGTGTGGCCCACTGTGAGCGAACAGTGCTGTCAGCATCGGCAGCAGGGGCAGTAGAGGCGCCAGACGTGAGATCGAACAGTGAGAGACTGTCCTTCCTATCGCACTGTAGGAAAAGCTGTAGATCATCGACCCAGACCTCAAAGTCAACAGCCCGACCCTCAGCATCAAAGACTAGAACGCTAGGGGTAGCCATGACAGTAGTGGCAGCAGGCTAGGGGCAGCAGTAGCAGGCGTGGCTCGGCAGTGCTCTCACCAGGGCTGGTAGGTAGGGGCCGGCAAGCGGTGGGGCAGGGCCGAGGCGCGTCGGCAGGGACAGAGCCGCGACCGCGGCGGCAGCTCCTGCTGGCAGTGGTGGCGGCAGTCGCGGGTGTCGGCGGCGACGGCTGCTGCTGGTGGTGGCCGCCGCTGCTGTCGGCGGCTTCTGCTGCTGTCGGCTGCTGCTGGCGGCCGGCGGCGGCTGCTGCTGGTGGGGGAGGAGCCGAGAAGGGGCCGCGAGGGGCCTCGAGGGGCAACAAGCTAGGGGCGGCGACGGGGCCGCTAGGAGCGGCGACGGGGCCGCGAAGGGGCCGCGAGGGGCCAAGAAGGGCGGCGACGGGGCCGCTAGGGACGGTGACGGGCCCGCGAAGGGCAGCGACGGGGCCGATAGGGGCGTCGCCGGGGCCGCGAAGGGCGGCGACAGGGCCGCGAAGGGCAGCGACGGGGCCGATAGGGGCGGCGACAGGGCCGCGAAGGGCGGCGACGGGGCCGCTAGGGGCGGCGACGGGGCCGCGAAGGGCGGCGACGGGGCCGCTAGTGGCGGTGACGGGGCCGCAAAGGGCGACGACGGGGCCGTAACGGGCGGCGACGGGGCTGTGAGGGGCGGAGACGGAGCCGCGAGGGGCGGCGACGGGGCCGCGAGGGGCGGCGACGGGCCGCGAAGGGCGGCAACGGGGCCGCTAGGGGTGGCGCGAGGGGCCGTGAGAGGGGCCTCTAGAAGGGCGCGACAGGCCGCTAAGGGCAGTGGACGCAACGAGAGGGCGGCCCACGAGGCGCGCCTCGCGCAGGGGCGACTCGCCCTCCGGTCAGAAAAAAAAAAAAAAAAAATCGATTTTCATAGGTGGGCCCTACGAAGCGTTCCCACTAGGGTACCTGCTCTATACCATGTGAAGAAATGAGGAATGGATGAACTAGCAAGCAGGTGGGTACAAGTAGGAAAACCTAAAAGTGTTGTACCCCATATTGTCTACCCCACTACAACCTACACAGAGTATAGCATATGAGTTTGAGAGTCGATACACATGCGAAAACCCCCGTCTCTTTTCGGCGTGAACAGTATCGGTGCGGCAAACGGTGACGAGCTCGGTCGGATGAATTTTTTCTCTAACAGGAAATCTAACTGCTTCCTTAGTTCGTCGAGCTCGGGTTGTGTCAGTCTGAACTGGCGCTGTACGGTTGGCTGTGCCCCCGGTTCTAATTCTATTCGGTGGTCATGTGCTCGCTGAGGTGGCAGTCCTTCTGGTAAGTCGTCGGGGAAAATCCTAGGGTACCGTTTCAACAGTTCCTGTAATTCGGGCGGTACGGCTGCCAGCAGTTTCTTGAAATCACTCGGCTGCTCTGCTTCCCCTACTACTGCGATGTCTACTGCGTATACGGTAGCTCCAGCAGCGACAGCCCGTTTCATTCTGATGGCGTTGACGTGTACCGTTGAAGACTCGGGCGACTGCCAGCGAGGTAGTTCGACCCAGTTACCACTACTTCGCACGGTGCAGCTACCCGTCGTCCAGTCAATTCGCGGGTTATACCGTCGCAGCCAATCGCGCCCTCGTAAAATATTGTGCCCATCCAGTGTCGTTGCGAGCATTTCCTGTGTAAACCCAAAATTCCCCCCGCAGCGGACTTTGACTCTCTCTACCTTTTCCCGTATGGCCAGTGGCGTGCCGTCGACTAAGCGTGCGTCTATCTCCGGTAAGCAATGGCTAAGTGTCAGCTGCAGTTTTCGTGCGGTTGCGGTATTAACTAAACTGTGGCTTGCTCCTCCGTCGATAAAAATCTTCACTGCTGCTCCCTGTATTTTCCCGTGGATCAGTACTGGGCAATCCGTCGGTGTACCCTCCTTATTCGTCCGAGTCCGATCGATAGCATGAATCGGTACTGTGACTCGGTGAGGGTTGGTGGGGTTGGGCGAGCAGGCAGTCTCGTCAGTAGTTGGCCCGATTCCTACTGACTGCTGGCTTTTCCCTGCCTTGGAGACTCCCTCCCCTGCTCTGCTCCGCGGCGCCTTAGCTCCTCTGGGCATTCGCTCTTGCGATGGCCTGGCCTGTTGCAAGTAAAGCAGCGCCCCTTAAACGGCGCGGCAGCTGCATTCGTTGCAACAGCGTGTACAGTGGCGTGCTCGATCAGTCCCCGAGGACGATGTCCATAGTAGGACCCCGGTCTCGGACGGCGTAAAATGTTGATTTTCTCGGCGAGCGCGAGAATCTCGTTGAAGTTCAAGAGCCCATGTAGCATGATTTCGTGCGAGATGTCCGGCTTCAGCCCTCCGACGTAACGGTCCACCCGCTCCGCTTCGTGCACGTAGCCGACTTGCTCGCATAATGCGAGAAAACCACTTGTATAGTCTTGAACCGATCCGAGCTGCCGCCAAGTGCGCAATCTCTGACGCGCCGAAATAGAAGCCGCGATTGGCTCGAAGCGCGCCCGAAGCCCTGCGCACCATGCATCCCACGTGCTGTATTGGGCGGTCTCGCAGAATGAACTCCAGGTGACAGCTGGACCCGTGGGTCCTTCCTCTTGCGACGGTGGCTCGTAGGCGCGTGGTGACATCACGATGACTCGCCACTAGTCCATGGCGGGGCCCCTTAGTAGCGAAATGGCATACCGAATCTTTGCTGCGTCCGACTCGACGTAATTCGTGTCAAAGAAGACGTTCATCGTGAAGACCCACGATTGAACCGTCGGACCTCCACGCTGGCTCGGGTCGAAGTAGGGCGGGCGTTGCGGCTTGAGTGGCATTGGTGTCAGAATGTTATTATCTAGCCTGTAGTGGGGTGCTCTATAGCAAGTACAAGCCTGTTAGGGTTTGCTATATGTATCCCAACTGCTGCTAGTGAAACCCCTCTCTCTTCTTCATTCCTCATTCTTCACAATTGGTGCCATAATGGCCTGTTCGCCGCTTGTCGCTGCGAACTCCACGTGCCGACGGGCTTCGCGAGGCTCCCACGGGCTTGGTGCGACCCTGTTTCCTCCCATGCCAGGCATCGGTTGGGCGGCGCCATCACTGGCTGCGCCTGAGCGCTGTCCCACGCTGTTGTTTTGTGTTGGTGTGCCGGACGAGATGACGATCGGCTCGTCCGATTGTGGAGATGCATTTGTCGGTGCGTGTGGTGGCGCTGGAGTGTTCATCGTTGATTGCTGACGCGCGGAGTCGCGTTCTGCCGTGAGCGTCGCAATTTCGAGCACCGAATCTTCAAGTTGGCGCACCAGACGGTCGAGCTGCTCCTGCGTCAATGTGGCGAGTGTGAATTCGGCCATGGCGGGGGTGTCGGGCGAGCTCAGCGAGAGCCTCGGTCATGGCCGTGCGTGCTTACGAGAGAGCACTACGAGCGGCGGTGTTGTGTCGCTGAGGGACGTCTACCCCCCCCAAAAAATTGAGATAGTGGGGAAGCGAAGGTGTGGGTGCGGTCCGAGAAGAGATCGTAGGCTCTGATACCAAATGTTACGAGTGCAATTGAGTGAACGAACGAGAATTGCACTATCGAAGCAAGCGTACAATGAGCGAAGGCATGAGCGAAGAATAAATAGCGAAACTACAGTGGTAACGGTAATGGACTGTGGTTGCCGGTTGACGGGCCTGGGACTGAGGTTGGGAAAAAGTGTTGAAGCGGAGGCCCGGAGCGCGGGTTACCCGCCGAGCCGTGAGGTCGGGGTGCGACGTGCGAAGGTGGCGGGCGGATTGTCGATGCGAGGATTGCGAGTGGTAACGGTGCTGACTGTGGTGCTACAGTGATGTACGTGTTGAGCAGGGATGCGAAGTAAGGAAAAGGGATTTTCCTTACAATATCAATGAAGAATCATGTTTTAATCTCTTTCTGGTACAGAGGAGCTCTCAATCGAAGACAGTGATATATATTTTGGTGAAGTGGTTTCAGATTTCGACTCTCCAATGATCATCAGTCACAACTTGGTCGGAGAAAAGTCCTGCTGTCATTTCCATCAGAACAGTCTTGTGCAGCTGTGCCGATTAATCATTGATCCTGAGAATCGTTCAGCGCTAGTTCGTCTATAGCAATGGATATGAATGAAGTCCAATCAAGGCTCCTGTCGCAATCAGTTGAGCCGTCTGACAACTCGAGTGATATACTCCTTTTCGATGCTTCCAGAGATAGACGTAGAAGCAAGAAGAAACATCCGACTGTAAAGCGGGCCGAGGAGCTGCTAAGAATGTGCAACCTGAAATTTGAGCCGGGCACTTTCGGCGTGGTATGTGGAGGAAAATTATGCCCGATTCGCCATGCAGATTTTTCTTGTAATTGATTAGAACCGAGTTTCCTAATGAGGAGTTCCCAGCGCCAGCCACACACCACTTGGAAGTTGACTGCCGGTAAACAGGCGTTGGGCAGCTACGGGAGATGGCGATTGGTCATCGCTTGCTGTCGCATCATTCCAACCGTTCCATTCAGTGTCCGGCTCAGTCCGACATTCCGAAGCCCTCACGGTCTCAGGCTGTCGCGGCTCTTGCGACTGAGATTGTCGCGAGAATGCGTGTGCCATCCGACTAAGCAACTGTTCTCGTAGCTGACAGAAATATCGTGGTCTGACCTACCTGGCTTGGTCTGACCTACCTGGCTTGGTGTGACCTACCTTGCTTGGTCTGACCTACCTGGCTTGGTCTAACCTAGCTGGCTTGGTCTGACCTACCTGGCTTGGTGTGACCTACCTGGCTTGGTCTAACCTACCTAGCTTGGTCTGACCTACCTGGCTTGGTGTGACCTACCTGGCTTGGTCTGACCTACCTGGCTTGGTGTGACCTACCTGGCTTGGTGTGACCTACCTGGCTTGGTGTGACCTACCTGGCTTGGTCTGACCTACGCCTCCTTTTTAAACTAGCTTTTCCGTATCTCTTCCTTCCGCCATTATCACCCCATTCTCTGCGCAGGGTGAGGTAGCCAAGGCTGTCATCTGCTTCGACATCGCCTGCCACCTGTACGCGTTATAATCTTCCCCCTACCCTGAAACACAACCCCCTCGAACAACCATCTTTCCCTCCCTCTCTCCCTCCCTCCCCTTTTCCGTCCGTCAATCCGCCTGTCCGTCCGTCCTTCCGTCCGTCCGTCCGTCCCTCTTTCCCTCCCTGACTCCCTCCCTCTCTCCCTCTCCTCTTCCCTCCCTTCTTCCCTCCCTCCCTTCTTCCCTCCCTCCCTCCCTCCCTCTCTCAATCCCTCCCTCCCTCCCTCTCTCAATCCCTCCCTCCCTCCTTCCCTCCTCCCTCCCTCCGTCTCTCCCTCACTGCCTCCCTACATCACGCACTCCTACACTTAAAGGCTCATCTTCTCGCTGAAATCCTCCCTTTTTTTCCCCTTCTCATCCCCCTCCCCGGTTCCCATCTCCCACTCCCTCCCATCCACCCCTTCTTCCCTTCCCTCCCTCTCGTTCCCCCTGTTCCCCCTCTCCTCACCACCCGCCGAAGCGCGAACGCACTTCCAACCACCCTCAATATTATAATCACCGCCTACGCGCTCGTGACACACCCACCCCTCCACCATCTGCACGGGTACTACTCACGCTGGTGCCATGCCCTGCAGTGACATTGGAAGGCTGGGCTGGGAGGTACCACAACCACCCCACGATGCACTGATGCACTCGCAGGCTGGCTGGCACTGCATGGGATGCTCGGAAAGCCTTTATGGTAAAAGGCTTGTCCTCTCCTTCCCCCCTCTCCTCCCCTCCCTTCCCACGCTTTCCTGCCCCACTCACTCGTGTCAACGGCAAAATGGCCTTACGTTTCCATGGCAGGATGGGCAGCACAGCAGTGGATGCGCGCAAGGCAGCCAAGCTGAGTGGCATGTCTCCACCTGCATACGCCCGGGCGCGAGCAGCCATTCAGAACGCTCTAGGCGTCAGGTAAGCGCAGTTGCTGGCATCAATTGCAAAGCTGCAACTCAACACAGCCACTGCCCAAGGCCACCACCCTGGCGTATGCCAACAACATGCGCCCGGGCGCGCGCGGCCATTCAGAACCGCTCTCAGCGTCAAGTAAGCGCCGTTGTTAGGATATACTTTTGAGGCACAGCGCACCGCAGTCTGTTAAGCGGCGTGAGCCCAAAGTGACCCTTGCCTGCCTCCTAAGTAAGACCCAGCACAAGCCACAGCAGCGTGACTCCAAGGCCACAGCCACCACGTTTCGTCACGCCGCTGGGCCAAGCTCGGGTTGGGCCAGGTTACAGGCTTCACGCTTGTGTATCTATTGTATCTATGCCCTTCTCTACGCATGTCCCACCGGCCATTTGTCATGTGCATTTCACCGCATGCCTCTCGCCACACCACATGCCAGCTGTACTATTCTGTGCGCTGTGCGCGTGCAGGTCGCAGTTGAGCCTACCCCAGTTGGCCCTTCAGTTTGGGTGCATGCGAGTGCTGGAGTCCACCCAACGCAACCTGCACATGTGAGGAAAGGGAAGGGGGAAAGTGGATGGATTTATGGAGAGGGAGTGCACCTGTCAGTGCTGCGTGATGAGAAGAAGCAGTGCCACAGTTTGTGTGAGACGAGCTCCGTGTTTTCCCCTGTTGCTTCGTTTCCTCTCCAAGCCTTGTCTTCCACCCTGCCCCCTCCCCTTACCCCTTCTCCCTGCCCTCTCCCTCCTGCCCCCTCCATCCTGTCCCCTCACCTCACCTCCGTGGTGGTCTGCCTACCGCCTCTCAGCTTCACCGCGCGCTTCACTGCCGCCCTCCCAGAGGCACGCAGGGGAGGCACTGACTTCTCCCGGCCGGCATACATGGCAGCGGCGCTCATGCTCACTGCCACACGCAACCAAGTACGCTGTGGGCTTCTGTTCAGTCCACTCACAACAATCGAGTCGCCTTAAAATTCACCCCATGGCAGCAGCGCTCATGCTCACAGCCACATGCACCAAGTGCGCCGTGGGTTACGTTCGAGTCAACTCACAACTTCCGAGTCAACTCACTCACACTTTTTGAGTAAACTCTCATACTTTTGAATTGCATCGAAGGTCACCTCATGGCAGCTGCGCTGAGCTCACTCACTGCCACACCACATGAAATTAAGTGCGCCATGAGTTTCCCATGTTCTGTTGTGCGAATGGATGGGATGTACCTGGTGTGAGTCCCTAGTTGCAGTGTGTTTATGTGTTTATGGTGGCGCCAGGGCTTAGGTATGGTGACCAGAGGGGGAAGGGATGGAGGGGGACGGGAATGAGAATGGGGGGGGGAGGGGGGGGAGGGGGTGGGAGTTGGTGTGAGAAGGTGTGGTGGGTTGAGTTGTTGAGGGTGTCTCCAGTGGTGAGAGCAGAGAGTTATGAGTCGTCTCAATCAAGAACCATTCATTATCACGAGAGCAAGATGAAAGGGAGGCACCGACCTGCGTGAGGTTATGCAGATGCAAAGCATGGGGCTTTAATTTTGCATGTGTGTGTCTGTGCCTAACCATTGCTGTGCGTACATTTGCCCATGTGCACGCATGGTCACGCGTGCTTGGATGTCTGCATTTGCATTGGCATGTGCATGCGATGTGTGTGGCATGCGCATGGGCATGTCCCTTATATGTGCATGTCTGTCACACACGCATTCATGCATGCATTGGAATATCATGTGCATACATGCATGCATGTGAACATCACATGCAGCTGAAGATGGACGCGGACAGGCTGCTTGAAGCCACACGGGTTGGCAAGGACGAGTTTCAGCAGGTACATGCATCTCCCATGCACCTGTACCTAAGGTGCTTAACACCTCTTCTGCACTTGCTTGTGCATTCGTCTCTGTCCTCTGAGCTTTGTTCAGATTGCACTCACAAGCCCCTGCAGGCCGCATCTGTCCCTGATGCAAGCACAGCGTCCCCCCTGTGACACACTTCTGAGGCGCCATTGTAATGCATTGTGGCTAATCCGTCCTGTGCTACACTAATGAGGGGACCTCTACAATGCATCGCGGCATAGCCATCATGTGTTCATGCCACCATGTGCAGCATGGCACACACGGAGCATCCATTGTGTGTTCACACCACCCCACAATGTGCTACCTCCCTGCGTCACCAGGTGGTGGCATGCATGGAAGCCCACTGTGCAGACCTGTTTGGGTCGTCCCACAGCTGCCCCACACCCAGCAAGGCACAGGAGCACTCTCTGCCACGCCAGCACCCACCAGTCCAGCAGCAACAGCAGCAACAGCATCAACAGCAGCAACATCAGCAGCAGCAACCGCAGCAGTGTAACCAGCAACAGCTCAATGATATGCACCAAGCTTTAAGTAGCTCACTCTGTGAATCACCACTCAGAGCTTCACACGATGCAGCAAAGGGTGATGATGCCCGTGGGGCAGCTGAAAAGGATGGATCACTGATTGTCAGGCACGCCCAGTTGGTGAGTTGCAGAGCATGTCATGGGTTGCATAACGACGTGGTGCGAGGTGGTGTATGGCACACATGGCGCATGTCGCGGCTTTTTATTATGTGACACGCTTGGTCGGGCAGCATATGACTTTCTGGTGCATGGTGTTGTGCAGCATGGGGTGTGGGGCATGGGGAGCGATGGGGCGTTGGACATGGTACAGTGTGCGCCATGTGGCACAATACATGTGTCGCATCAACGGGGCTTGCATGGTCATCATCCATTGTGTGGTGCATTTAGAGCATCTTCATGGATTTCTGCATGTGGTTGCTGCATATAGTCTCATGTCCTACGTATGCAAAACATATGTCTTAGAACAGGTGCAACTACTGCATTCCATTTTCATGTCCCGTGCACCACACAGGAGCAGTGCATGCATGCTACTGACGTGGCACACCTGCACCAGCAACGGCATCACCAGCAGCCGCAGAGCATTGCTGCTGCTGATGTGGCAGAGCACCAGCGGAGCACTACCTCAGCTGACGTGGCACCACAGTCACAGGCTCCTGCCAGCAGGAGCAACAACCGCACCATGCCATTGCCCCAAGCCAAGCTCACTCTATTAAAGAGACCCCCAGGTATACGCAATCCAAGCCCCAGAGGGACTACAAAAGGTGTCCTTATTTTGCCCATCTTGGCGTGTTTGCATATTCTCCCCATATGTGTGTCTATAAGATGCTGGCACCCGTATGCATGGGCTTCCACAGGGCGTTACAGGGTCTCAGGCCCCACTGCCATGAACCACCACATGCCACACCTGACATGCCCCTCCCCGTGTGCCCCTTCCCACGTGTCCCTCCCCGCATGTCCCTCCCCGCATATCCCTCCCCGCATGTCCCTCCTCGCGTGTCCCTCCCCGTGTGTCCCTCCCCACATACCCCGCTCCCCATGTTTCTGGTCCTGTCAAACCAACCCCGTTTGTTTCTCCATGTCCACCCAGGCCCTACAGGCAAGCTGTGTCAGACGAAGCTGCTCTTTAAACGTGTCAAGACCGCAGATGCCTAGAGGGATGTAGCACAACCAAGGCCAGGGAAAATAGGTTAATATAGACGGATACATAGTGGAAACTAGGAATCCATGTTTTTTAACTTTGTTAAACACAAGTTGAAGGATTCTCAATAAACATTATGTTACACATAAATAGCCCACTGTAACATGGATGAACCGTGCAAGGGGTTGCCACATCTTCATTGTCTTGGAAAATACACACCCGCACAGGAGCATGAGTGGATGGCGCCTTGCCTTCCAACCTACCCTCCCATCTACTCCCTCTTCCGTGGGTGTATTATTGCAGATGTAGCTATCCCTCTGCTCGCCACTCTCCCCGCACCAGGCCCTCAGATTGGTTTCAGGGCATGCTGATGGATCAGTGTGCCCTGCCCAAAGTAGTGACCAAATCAGCGTTGGGGGTGAAGTTTATGCTGATTTTGTCAGGGTAAAATTTCATGGTTAACTCATTTATTAGTAAAAAATAAATTTAAACTTCGTAATCAGTATCTTTAACGGAGCTGTCTGAGGCTTCGTCCTGTTGTTAGAGAGATCACCGGTTTAAGTCCCGTGGGTGAGAGTTTATTAGTACGTGGTGGTAATTTACGGCGTAGTCCCACGTCCGCGCACCCAATGTCTTGTACCCTATGCATTTTTGTAAGTCCGAATCAGTGTGACTCAGTACACTATACTGATGGCTCAGTGTCACTGGTACACCTATACACTAATTCGTCAGGGTAGTCCTATACTTCAAACTGGAAAATCAGAGCAAATATAAAGAAGATACTGAAATTTCAGGGAAAACGAAAATCACAGCTACAAAATCAGCCTAATCAGCGTGTTTTACGCTGATATCTGAGGGCCTGCCCCGCACCCACCCCACCACACCACAACCCAACCAAACCTAGTGCACGTTTAGGTCAGGTGACAGCACAAAATGAACTTAGACGGTAACCATGCTGAAAGTAACTGCAACAATGGATAAAATCAACCATTCAGTGCTGCATCCAAGAGTTCGCACACCGTCCAAAGTTCCCCCAGGCGGCTCAAAATGTCGAAGTGGTGTTTCGATGCTTCACAATCAGGGCTAATTTTATCAGTGTAAATCACCCTGATACAATGATAATCAGGGTGGTTTTTGGTTGTCGCACTAATGGCTTAGGGTAATTTTTTCTGGAGCTTAGAATTTCCTGATACCGTAATACCCCGGATATAAGACCCCCTCCAGTTGTAGACCCCCGTGTCTATAATACAGAGGGGGGCACACTAAATAAGTCGTTTTAGTTATACCCCCCTAAATGGGGGCTAACATTATAAGACCCCCCCCCCCTTTAGAGAATAGGTCATTTCACAGGCAATTAATGCAATTCTGATAGCTTTCCTGCCCTTTTTCACTCATTTGTGAAAGAGAGAACGAGGATGGAATGACTATGAAAGAAGTGAGTACAAATAGGAAACCCTAATTGGGTTGTACCCCCTATGGGATACCCCACTATAGCCTACACAATAGTATAAGCTATATAGTTCTGACACACCCCCATAGGCAAAGTGGGGGAGAACAAGGGGTCACAAGACCAGTCAAGCAAAGCAAAGCAAAGCTCAGGGTGGATCACAAAGTCACCACACATTCCGAGCACAAGTTCAAGGCCACATGGCCAGTTCACATGCAAGATCATATATAGAAATATACAAGAGTCAAGTAAGCAAGAGCAAGAGTATATATAGGCGAAGGTACAAGCAAGGTCAAGAGGAGAGCAAGTGAGGCAAGACAGGCACAAGACCCAACTGCGTGCAACAACGCTGATGATCACAAGGCGCAAGTGCCTTGGTGAAGACATCAGCAGTGTTGGCCTCAGAGGCCACGTACGCAAGTCGCAACTGGCCACGCTGCTGTAGCTCACGAGCAAGAAAGTAGCGGAGAGCAATGTGCTTCGTTCTGTGCTCCAGTCTCTGCTCTCGACACAAGGCCAGCATGGCCTTGTTGTCTACGTACAGGACTGGAGGAGAACGAGGCTGCTCTCCAAGGTCGGTCAACAGGTAGGTGAGCCAGCGTAACTCCTGTGCAGCCATAGCCCCGGCGTAGATCTCAGCCTCACAACTGGAGCCGAGAACAGAAGACGAGCGGGTAGCCCGCCACGAAACAGAGCCGGAACCAAGGCTGAAGGTGTAACCCTGTGACGACCGCTGCGTAGCCTGGTCGTCAGCCCAAGAAGCGTCCGCGTGCCCAGTGAGGACCACTGGACTGCGCCCTCCAAGCACTAGCCCCATGCCCGACGTACTGCACAAGTAGCGCAACACCCTCTTCGCTGCAGCCATGTGCTCTGGTCGGTGTCTCCCAGGAGCAACATAGCGTGCGAGAATGCTAAGAGGGTATGCAAGGTCAGGTCGTGTGCAGGTCATCAGGTACATGAGGCAGCCAACAAGCTCTGCATACGGGCCACTCGACTCTACGGACTCATCCGAAGGCAGAGCTGAGAGCGAGTGGCGAGTAGGCAGAGGAGTGGCCTGAGGCGAGGAGTACGTGAAGCCGAAGCGCTGAAGGACCTGCTGCACCATGTGTGACTGAGTCAGGGTAATGGTGCGGCGTGCTCTGTCCCGGGTGATCTGCAAGCCAAGATAGCTGCGCAGTTCACCCAGGTCAGTGCACGTGTGTCTCTTCTGCAGCTCGGACTTCACGTAGGCGAGTCCAGCAGTGTCAGCTGTGGCAAAGACCAAGTCGTCGACGTACACGAGGATGTAGAACGGCGGCAGAGAGGTGTCGGTGCGCAGAAACAGCGACGGGTCGGCAGTAGAAGGAGCAAACCCAAGTGCCGCGAGCGTAGTCCTCAGTGTGTCGTGCCACTCACGTGGCGCCTGGCGGAGACCGTAGACTGGACGCCGGAGACTCCACTGGGTACCAGGAGGGAAAGACCCAGTGAAGCCAGGTGGGCGACGCAGCCAGATCTCCTCGTGCAGGCTGCCCTGCAAGAAAGCTGTGCTGAAGTCGAGAGAGTGCAGCTCGTAGTCACGGTGAGCAGCAACGTGCAGCAGGACCCGAAGAGTGGTCATCTTCGGGGTGGGGGAGAAGGTCTGAAAGTAGTCAACCCCCTGCCGCTGACTGAAGCCACGAGCCACGTAACGCGCCTTGAAGACAGGCGGAGAACCCGGCGGCCGCTTCACCCTGAAAATCCACATGCCACTGACGATGTTCGCCCCAGGGGGGGGAACAGCGTCAACGTAGGTGCCTGTGGACTTCCAGGAAGCCATCTCTGCATCCATAGCTGCCTGCCACTGAGAGGAGTAGGGACCCTCTATCGCCTCCGCGTAAGAGCGCGGAGTCGGGATGTCTGGTGCATCCGGGTCTCCCTCAGGGGCTAGCAGTACAGACGCGAGACGAGGTGAAGCGGCGGCCAGACACTGGAACTCCTCCTGCCTGTCCTCAAGGACGTCCGTGCCAAGGGCACACTCACCCCCGACGGACGGAGGACAGGCGGACTCAGACTCAGTGACAAGGCGGGCAGCGTAGTCTAGACGACAGCGCGCAGCAAAGTCGACAAGCTCAGTGACAAGGGCAGACGCAGCAGACGACTCGAAGGAAGGGTCAGTGACAGCTGTAGCAAGGAGACGCGTGACAGTAGGACTGGCAGCACGAAGGGAGTCCGACTCCGGGTCGGCAAGAGCAGGAAGAGAGGAAGCAGGAGGAGAAGGCAAAGGGGCACGCAGAGGAGCAGTGGACGGACGCAGTGACATCCGGTGCGTGCCAGGGACAGGAGGAGGACGCTGACGCGACCCGCGACCACTAGCGCGCTCAGTACGAACAGGCGACACAGGACGAGACGCAGGCTCACGACGCTCAGTAAGACCTCCAGTCGGACCAGTGTAGGGAGACGGAGCAGGCAAAGGGGAGGCAGGCTGTAGCTGTGGCTGTGACCGGACAGGCTGCGGACCCTCTATGGGAGGAGGAGGAGGAGGCGGAAGACCAAGAACCTGCTGCAGGAGAGGAACGAAGTAAGGTCGGGGCCGCGCGGCGACACCAGAAACAGCAGGAACAGTACCAGCAGCCCCGGCAGGAGTACCCACTCCAGCAGCACCTCCAGCAGCACCACCAGAAGCTCCAGAACCTCCAGCAGCAGCACCAGGAGCACTGTCAGTCGGACCGCCAACGGCAGGCTCAGCGCCAACACCCTCAGTAGCACCAGCTCCAGGAGAACTCTCAGACCCAGCAGCTCCAGCACCCACAGTACGAGCACCGGCGGGACGCGAGGCAGCAGTACCCTCTGCAGCCGAAGAACCACCAGCACCAGCAGCACACCTCCAGCGCCTGGCAAACCACTCACGCAGCTCCTGCGGGGAGAGTGGCTCTCGGCGAGACGAAGCACCCCCAGGCACAGCACCCCCAGGCTCAGCACCCCCAGGCACAGCACCCCCAGGCTCGGCACCTCCAGGCTCAGCACCCCCAGACGCAGCACCCCCAGGCTCAGCACCCCTAGGCACAGCACCCCCAGGCTCAGCACCCCCAGGCTCAGCACCCCCAGGCTCAGCACCCCCAGGCTCAGCACCCCCAGGCTCAGCACCCCCAGGCTCAGCACCCCCAGACTCCGCACCCCCAGGCTCAGCTCCCGCAGCAGCACCAGAGTCACCAGTGACCTCGACAGGCTCGACCGCGTCTACCTGGGACACACCTGAAGGGGCAGGACCCTGAGGGGGGAGGGGGACTACCGAGGGGGGACCTGGTACCAGGAAGAGCGGGGGTGGGGGGAGGGACGGAGTGCGGTAGGGGAAGAGGCGGTAGTAGGGTACCGACTCGTCGAACGTGACGTCCTGGGAGGACAGAACACGTCGAGAGGTGGGGTGGTAAAACTGCCACCCAGGGGCGTCGGGGGGGAACCCCAGGAAGACGCAGGGAGAAGCACGAGGGGACAGCTTGTCCGCAGACAGGTCGCGAACAAACGCCCGAGATCCCCAGACCCGGAACGCCGACCCATCGCCAACCTTCCCCGTCCACAGCAGAGCT